CTGCCAAAAAGTATAAATCTCACTGTTGTATTCCTGAATATATATTGGCAGAATTAAATGAAATGAAATAATAAAATGCTAATAGCTTCGCGTATAAATGCCAAATCACGTGAATAAATGCTAAATCACGTGAATATTACATGATAATCGATGTTTGAAATTTTAGACTAATGCGGTTTATAGGTGACAGCCACTATAATGAGATTTATATATCTAATATTTTAACAAAAAAAGTAAAAAATGATAACCTATATACTCTAATTAAATGTAATCATAAAGAAATAGAAGAAGTCAAACATAAATCAGAAAGAATTTTAAATTTTAACTAATCTATATTTTTTTTCTTTATAGATGTGATAATATCTTCACTCTGTGAATTGATATTAATAATCTTTTTATTTAAGTCTTTAGATTCATCTTTATGAATTTGCAATTTTTTATTAAGTTTGATTAATTTAATATTGGATTTAAAAACATTATATGATGATTTTTTCAACTCCTCATAACTTATGCATTTTTTTAGCACCTTTGATGCTTGTTTTGTTAAAGTTAAATTGACAGATTCTAAGCTAAAACCTACAGGAACATACTATTTTTCAAATGGTACATTGTTATCTTTATTTCATCTATTTTCTGAGAAATTTAATTGAATACCAGAGACTTATTATCTTAAGTTACAGTTATGCAATTCACTTTGAGTTTATTCTTAATCTTATGCATAGTTACTGGAATAATAAAATTCTGATTATTATAATAATCTTTAACTTATCTTTATTCTAATCAATACCACATTTATATTTCTTGAGAAGTGGATTTAGAAATATCAATGTTAGTTTAAGAATACATACAACTATAAAATCCTTACATATAGTGAATCCTAGAGGAAATATTATTAGAAAATTACAAGTAACGTCTATTAACTCTATTAAAACTATGGCTATACTATTTAGATCATACTTTATTAATTTATCAATCTTTTCACTTACACGTTTGACAATGTTCTCTAAAATAATTGCCAGTTCTATTCCACTATCAAATACCATTGCTAAGATTTTTAAACATTTAATTTTACATTTTATAGTTGCTAAACTTGTGACTGGTTCTTTCTTCTAAATAAAATCAATTTCTATAGGATTATTTAAAATTTCTTCTTCTCTATTTGATTCTAGAATTATCAATATTAGTTCTCTATAATCTATAAAGTCAGATTTTTGAGTAGATAGAGTATACTAGATGGATTTTCAATTTAGCTTTAAGTTTCTCAACCCAATCTATAGATGTAATACTATCAAACATATTTAGTATAACTCTTTGAAGCAACTTATCAGAAATGAAGGTATTCTTCTATTTTGTCTTATGAGATTTGGATTCTTTTTTGATCTTAGACTCTTTAGATTTAGATTTTACTTGTTTTTTGCTTTAACAGCATTGATAATTTTCACGATTTTAGTCTCAGATAAGAAATTCTCAAATTCTAAATCAAAATCAAAATTAAAATTAGAATCATTATCAGAAGAATTAGCAGAAAAGTTAGCATAAAACTCAGAATCTGAATTTATAGTAACAGTATTAATATTATCACTCTTTTTGATTTGCTTTTTGACTTGCCTTTCTTTTTATAAGGACATTTGCGAGAATTATATTTAGTTCTATTGTAATTTAAGCAATAATGCTAGAATGATTTCTTAATAGTATTAATATCTTTTGCCATTTTTGCTATATTTAATAATAAATTAATATACCTTTAAAACCTTTAGTAATTTTATTTATGTTATTATTACTTGAAATAACATTCTTTTCCTTAGATAAGTAATTTGAAATCTTTTTCATCATATTCATAAAAAACTGTAAAATAGATGTATTATCAGCTGTAACACTGAAACGATCTAATACATTATCTATTTGAAATCATTTTTGATCATTTAATCACAAATTTAGATCTCTATAAATTTTATCTGACTCTATTTGACTGAACTATAATAATTATCCTTCTTGTCTTTGAGAAGTTAATTATAGATTAAAATTGTGCAGATGACATCATAGATTTTATCAAGTTTTTGACTTCAGTTTCAGTCATACCTGTATTGCTTAAATAATTATCTTTTTCATGAAATCTAAATAATGTTTTATAATTAGACTAAGGTATTTTAGTAACTAATCTTAGACTTTTTTTTAATTTACATATTTTAATTTATTTTAATATCATAAAAAATTTTCTAATGGTTGTTTAGTACTAATATATTCTGTGTTATCAGAAAATAAGTTATGTAAAAATTGGCTTTTAATTTGCTTTTTATCAAGTTTAAGCATTTATTCATATTTTAAATAAAATAATCTTAGAGGATCATCTTTTTGAGCTAATAAACCAAACACTAGATTGTACTTTTCACTAAGCACTTGGAATACTCATACTTAAGCTAATATAATACTTGACCAATTTGAATATCATTAAATACTATGAGATTATTATTACTTATATTAACAGCATTAACAAATCTATCTGATGGATGCCTTTCAGCTAAATGCCAATCTTCAGTAAAAGCTTTTACTGAAATTATTAAATTACTTACAGTTACAGCATTATTAACAGAAACATTAGCATAGGTATGAACAATAGAGGGATTTTTAAAACTATTAGAAGCATTCATTTATGCTATAGAATAAGCTTGAATAACACCTATATTAGCTTATCCATAATTTACAATAATATTATAGAGTTCTCATCTTTTACTAAGAATTTTTCTATTAAACTAATCTAATGCTGATCTAGATAAATACCCTCAAAGAATACCAAAAGCTCTATCTCTTGCTATATCTATTGGATTCACATCTATACTAGTTAAATATTCTGATAATTGATTAATAAAAATATCAATATCTTCATCATAACTACTTAAAAATATTAATGCTAGAATTGTTGCTATGTTTATTTGTATATTTATAGATAAATTATTCTAAAGCATAAAAATTGCTGATTCAATTTAAAATTAATTGCTGTAAATTATATTCTTTATTTTCCACTTAATATGACTTACCTTTTGATTCTTGAATTTATTGGAATATCTATCAAAAAGTTGATCTCAATTATATTCTAATAATCCTTTATCAGCTTAACATTTTTGTAATTCTCTCCTATAACTTTGATACTACTAAATTTTAAATTTTAATGTAAAATTATCATGTAATAAAGTATTAATATATGTTTGCATTTTTGTTTTCAATTTTTATGTAATTTTCTATTAGCAATGATATTCTGCTTATTTATTATTATAAGTTATAATTATTAGTATAAGATCGTTCAAAGAATTGTCATATTTTTGAGTAGGTTGATTAATATGATTCTATTGAGTAGTATCAAGTTGTCTATATCTATTAACATTCTGTTATAACTGGACTATCTGATTATCTCTGTAATCTTATTGATCAATAACATTATCTATATTTTGATATACAGACTAATAATTATACTAGACAGCTACCATAGTAATATTAGGTGAGTCAGAAATTTAAACAGATTTAGATTTCAGTTTCTTTTTCTTAATCTACTTATTTGATGTATTAATAAAAGTTTTTAGAGTACTTGTATTATAATTTATAGATTAAATCTTCATATCTAAATTATATATTAAAAATACTGAATTTTGTTTATAATTTCTATCTTATTAAAGACACTCACAATTATGTTATATATCACAAATATGTT